TCTTTTTTTGAATATTCGCAGCAATTTTTCTTCTCCACCCAAAATAGTTACTAGTGTATAAAACATGTTTTTTCGCCGGTTTCGATCGCGGAAATGTTCTTCCCGCACAACGAATTGCTTTCTAGGGAGCACTGAACATTTGGGGTGGTGTTTATCGGAAGTCTCCACTTAACTTTGTTCGGTTGGACTGGGGAGTAACCTTATAAAGCACTCTATGAATTATTAGGGTCTAAATGTAGCGGATAACACAAGCTTTGTGTAATATTAGCCTTAAGTATAAACAAATCTGGCTAGCAGTGAATTTCGGCTACGCGGGTTATTTGCGATTATAGAGATTAGTTAGTGCAGAGAAAGTTAAATGTAATTCTTATTTGTTCGAAAGTTTCTTACTTTGAAAAGGTAGGTACACTTGATGCAGCTAGCTATTGCAGGATTAATTTTTTTTCTTTCCCCAGCGTTAGCTATTCTCTGTTAAAATAGAACCATAGTCATAGAACCGTGTTTTTGTTACCGATTAGCGCCATTAGTTTATTGCAAATTGTAACAAAAGTCCAAGAAGTACTTATCGTGATTTCTCGTACCTAATACCTATTTCTGCAAAGTAAACCATTTATGTTGGCTGGTAGTACCAGAGAGTTTTTGAGATTGTAAAGGGAAACTGGTCGTAATAAACGAAACGAAACTACTCAGCAACATTCCTCTTGCTTCTATTTAGTGGCGTAGCAAGAAAATTAAGTGACTGTGAGAGCACCCACATCCTCGAAGGCCCTACGTACTTTCTTACAATCCGTGGTTGACTAAGTGACTGTTAAAATAATCTAAAGATTAAATAATCTGAAGTCGTTGTAATCGACTATAGTCACCTACTTGCTCATTATGCAACTAATCAATTTGTAGGTTAGTCAATTGGTCAAAGAAATATATCGATTGGTGATGTCAAGACAAAAGCTTTTTCGTGTAAAAAAATGCGCTTTATCTGCACAAGCGTTGTGCACAATTTATACCTAAATTACTTGTTTTTTAAATGAATTTTCATGTTATTTATGTAATATTATTCTATATGTTTCATGTATATATGACATATGTTATGTTTATGTTTTATACTATTTTCGGACGAGTGTAAGCATTACTTTAATATATTAACACAAATAAATTACTATTACTATACTTTTCGGATTCAGCGGGTGAATTTTACTTAGTAATTACAAGTTTGAACATTTACATTTCTGACCAACTGTATCTTGTAGAAAATTCGATTCTAAACAAATTTATGTCTATTGATTTTTTCCCTCGGAACAATAGCTAATGAGTAATTCGCAGTTAAATGCGATAAAATCGACTATTTCCCTTTTTTCGTTTTTTGTATTATAACAGATGTTGCAGGAGTTCCCGACCAGGGAGACTATGATTTTCGGGTTCAGCGATGAGTATGGGCCGTTTGATAAAATTAATGAGTTTTTCTGACTGTTTATTGTGATTTTCGCTTACGATTGCTAAGGAAACGGTTTGAGACTTTTACAATCTGATTTCAACGAGAAATTGGACCAAATCCGTTAACTTTTCTGAGAACTGCGGTAAGTCTTGACAGTGCTAAATAAATCATTGATGCGATAAGTATATAAATTTGAAGATAACTTATTAATACGGATTTATGTAAATTTAAACTGAACTTTCATTACTTACTTTGTAAGTGAGAAAATTCACTATTGTTTAAATAAATACTTAAATTCATTTACAATTCTGCAAATTCACCAAAAGACTGAAACAGCTGCTTACATTAGACGACCGATATTTCCAATGAAATCGAACTATTGCAAATATGCTTAAGCACGGTCCAAAGAGGGTTCTGAATTATTTTTAAATGCCACTCACATGCAAGCAAAATATGCATTTAACAAGACTATTCTATAACTGTTTTTGATGAAGATCCGCTACCACTAGTCATTTTGGTGTTAGATATGCTTATTGTTATAAATTTCTAAAATTTCCTGATTTCGGCATGAAACCTTTTAGTCCAGTATGCGGAGCAGTCAGAAGGGCCGATTCCTGCAAAAGGTGGTGTAAACGATTTTATCATTTTAAGTGGTCCATTTGGGTTCAAATAACATGTATTTGAAGAGTGCACACCGATTTTTTCCCGGCACAACTTTTGGCAGCCATAAAACCTCAAAATGTTCGGACCTCATTCAGTTTTTCGCTTAAAACTCGAAAACGGTCCATATTTTATGAATAACACTTCTTTAGTAAATTAAAGAAAACACAATTCTGCGTCGATCAAAAGATGAACAAACAAAATCGGTCCAATATAAAAATTTTTACAGCGATCAAAGAAATTCCTTAAGCTCCCCGCCAATTCCTGGACATCCACGGGAATCCCTGAAATCGGGTAAAATTGCTTATAAATCCTCAGAAATCCTTTCGAAATCTTCTTAAATTCTTCCCCATTCTTGCTTTTGACACTCCATTCCAATACTTTACTACCGCCGCTTTCATATAGAAAAACCTACGCTTCGTCACGCACCTTCTCACAGGTATTATAAATTAATAACAATATTTTGCGATTGTTATATTTCAAATACTGCGTGGCAATATTGAGTAAAACAATTAGAAGCTAAAGTTTATTTTTGAACGAGCCAAAGAAAGCTATTTCAGTGACAAAATGCAATTGGAAGGTAGACATGTGAGAATGAAAATTAATTTAGAACACAATCTCATGGGTTAAAAAATTGTAGTTCACATGTCATATTTTATCAGGAACGACTTCATTCGGTACGGCAAAACAATTATTGAAAGGTAAAAGTGACCGCACGTGCAGATAAGCGCATCAGGTGATTAATCTCTACCTGCTTACGTTACCGCCCCTCCATCAAAAATATAACTTATGACCAAATCATTCGATCGTGTTAACGCGAAGTGCAGTGCATCTTGTGCGGAATGGTCTCCAAAAATTCCAAATGGTTCGAAGCAGGAAAGCTAAGGGTGAATTTTGACAAGCACAGATTAGGTGCCGCGTAAAATGCAGTAAGTAATTTGGATTTTTACATTTAAACATTGGGCATACAATGCAAAATGATTTTGAAGTTGGACAATAGGTGAAGTGTGACTAAATATTGTGTATCGAAAGTTACCTCCACACATGTAAATGCCGTGATTTTCAATCAATCATTATCCAAATCAAAAATTTATACACGACAGTAATCATCTTATCTATCCAAGTCTAAATTAGAAACACATGTGTAGTCTATTGCGTCGGCCGTGTCGGCATTTTAAACAGGTGTTTAGAAGTCTGTTGATAATTTCATTCTTATCAAAAACCGCACTTGCCTTTTTATTAGCTTTAATAATAATTGTCGCAGAGTTTACTAATTTTGAAATCGAAACATGCAACTTAAGATTATTGTGTCACATCATGCCTAAAAACTATACAAAAAGGGTGACTAGGAGTTTCATTCTTTCTCTCTGCATTCATGTTAAATCCGAGTCCTTATTAGAGGCATTTAATTGGTCCAAAAATGCATTCAATATATCAACGTATTCACAAACTTCATTAGCGTTGAAGAATCGAAAAGTGGATTTTCATTTTTCGCATTTTCAGACCAGATAATTTTGTCTTGAACTTGTTAGTATTATTAGGTATCTCTTGCAAGAGTGTTTAATGGTATTTGTCTCAGCAACCATGACAAATGGAACGATTGAACTTACGGCTATACCCAGGTTTGGAGCATGCCTTTCTGATTTGTAAAGTTCCTACCCCATGAGGTGCTTTTTTTTATCCCCAAACGACGCCCCGAGGGATATTGTAAAACGTAAAGCACATTAGAAATGCTGTCGAAAATTCAAATTCATTAGCCCATTGCGTAAAGACGTGGTTTGGGTAAGTGTAACATCTAAAATGACGGTTTTAGAAATGTTTTAAATTTCGAGGGCTATTTATCAAACCAAGCTCATTAAATTTTATATGAAAATTAACCAAAAATACTGTAGTTGAAGCGTGTTAGTTAAAGAATTTCGGAAATGAAAATTATGGTGGTAACGCAACCACAAACGATGTTTTGAGAATAGAAGTTTTGGTGTGTTTTAAAAGACAAGTACCTTACAATTTAGAAATAACTTGAAATAATGTAGAAGGTCGAAAATTATTAGTAACTTGAACAAAAGACGTGGTTTTGACAAGCATTACACCCAAAACAATGTTCTTAGGGACTTTACAAGTTTGGGGTTGCTGTTTTCATGACGCAGCATCTTACAATTTATATATGAAATGAAATACACTTTCGCTTGCCAGTTATTAGATAAGGGGTAAGGCTTAAACGTCACAAATGCCGCTGCTTAGTGACATGAGGGCGTCAGTTGCAGTGAAAGGGTGGTGTTGGGAGAGCCATTCGAGCAAGTTGGATGAGTCTTGTTCATTCCGGCTAATTCAAAAATTTCCAACAAATTTGAAATAAATTTTTGGCACTTTTTGAACTCGGATGTCCTACAATCTTTAGGAAGGGGGTAGTGTATTTTACCGTTCCTTTAGAAGCCACAACGCAAAAAAAAGCTTAACTCAGTTTTGTAGAAAAGTTGGAAAAAATGGGTGTTTATTGATCGCTTTTAATAATTTTTCTATTGGACCGATTATGTTTGTTCATCCTTTGATCGACGCAGAGGTTTTTTGTTTTCTTTTTTTTACTAAAGAAGTGTTATTCATAAAATATGGATCGTTTTCGAGTTTTAAGCGAAAAATTGAAAAAGGTTCAAACATTTTGTGTTTTTTTGGTTGCCAAAAGTTGCGTCGGGAAAAAATTGGTGTGCACTCTTCAAATCCATGTTATTTGAACCCAAATGGACCATTTAAAATAATAAAATCTTTTACACCACCTTTTGCAGGTCAAAATTATCTGCATACTGGACTATTTGGAAATAAGCCGCAAAAGTTTGGAAATTAATCAGATTTTCAAGCTTTGGGGCGGCTAATTCTTTTTGGGCAGATCATTCGAAATTCGTATACGACAAAATCCAATTAATTGCGTACCAACTATAATTTTAACATAATTTAACATTCTACTTCAGTTCTGACTACAAAAGTCAATGTACATAAGAAAAAATCTTAAAACCAAGGCTAAAACAAAACTAATCTAAAAAACATTAAACGAATTGTCTCTTTGTCCGTCGTACAATTCTTCATGAATAATCTTTTCAATCTTCATACGTAACGGTAGTTTCCTTGCCATTGGTACCTGTTTGAAATGGGGATATAAACTTAAAAGAAATTGCAAATCATCATCGTTGGGATAGTTAGCGGTCGATTTTTCCTCCACGTCTCTGTTTTCTATTTCACTGTCAGTGTCTAATTGATGAGTGGATTGTGGGGTTCCGTTTTCATGATTACTTTGCTTTCTTTTAACGCCCCTTTCTACTTTTACGGGAGATTCGGGTGAAAAGTCGTGGTTTATGGACAAAGGATCCTCACTGGACTCGTTGCTCTCTTGCATTGTGCCCTCAAATGTGACGGAGGAGTAGTCAGGTTCAATAGATACTATTTCGGAGCCCTTCAGAGATATATCTAGCACTTTCGACTTGGTGCTCAGTACGATATCCTTGATAAAGTCCATGTGCTGGAAGTACCTCCATTTTGGGGTGCCCAACAGTTGGGGGTTGTCGATTACTCGTAGAAGTAGTTTTCGGTAGGAATCGCGTAAATTTTTCCATCTCGCTTTTACAATCTCTTCTGAAAAAGAAACAAAAAATAAATATAACAGCAAAACTTTCCCTGGTTATTTAGGAGGGGATCTCGCAAGCTAGTAGGAAAATAACTCAATCTAATATGCATTTTTGTTTTCAAAAACGACCATCTGTATGTCTCCCTTTATTCACTTGATTTAAGAATCACTAGCATAACAGTATACCAGTTATAGAATTTATCTTTTCATGTTCGACTTGTTGAAGATGGCGATCGTTTCAAAATAGTGAATCCACACCACATTTGGCAAGATTTCGTTTTACATCAAAATGTTGCATATTAACAATATTGGAGAATTTTTGGTGTATAAGCACTTATATCTTGTGTGAGTGTTTTTTTTACAAAAATTTAGCAGTACATATTACTTTTCCGGGAGACCCAAAGTTTCTAAAAAGAGTATTTTAGGGCCATTTTCAAGAAGGTTTTGTAAGAAGAATTTTATTTCTAAAAAGTATGCAAGAAGGGTTTTATCAAAAATCCTACATTACTAGCGACGCTTCTAAAGTTTCGAAAAAATTCTGTTTGAGGAATATCTTGAGAATATTCCTAAAAATTTTTCAAACAGGTTTCTAAAGAAATTTGTAAGTTATCTGAAGTTCGCTAAAAAGATTTCTGAAAGACCCCCAAAATGTTTGAAGGAAAATTTAAAAAAATGTTTACTAAACCTCGAAGAGGATTTTCAACAATTGCAAATTGCAAATAAATACCTTCCAGATAAATTTGTAGGAACCGCCATATTTCCTAAAATTACTAAAAAGGTTTCCAGAAGGACTTTATCTAAGAAGATTTCTATCAATATAAACGTGTACACATTACTGTGATTTTACATGCAATGCGCTGCCAATAATATTGATTTCCATATTTTAGGCTACTACCCGTAAACACAAAGTTCCATCTTGAGTATTTTTTTAAAGCTTCTCATTCTAATTATATAAAAACAAACTATATCGATACCGAATATCTAACATAATCACACCCATAAAGCCATAAAAACCCGACTTTTGTGTTAACGTTTAAAGTCTTTTTGGTTTATAGTCAATAGGGTAAAATTACATAGATGTAAGACCAAAAAGGTAATATTATTTTCATGTCAGAATGGACATAGTTTAACATACAACTTATTTTTTAATACATTTTTATTACTTGTGAGTTTCTAGTAAATCACATCAGCTTTCTTATTTCTTATGGACACCATATTGGATTTTTACGTAACTCGATAGAGGAAAAAATTACAAAACCAGTGAGACTAACTTATTTCATTTATGAATTTTTGTCTTGAAATGTACAATGTATTTCTTATGAGAATAATTCCATGGCTGATTGTAATTGAAACCAAATTCATTCATCTACTGCCATGGAATTATTACCATAAGAACTACTGTGCTACAAAAAAAGAGTTGCTGTCGAGTCGCCTTTGGAAGTTCAAGTTAAGTACGATGTCCCACCAACAAAAATTCCAAAGGTGACTCCACGGCAACTCCTTTTTGATCGCATAGTATTTAATTTGCCCTTCCAAAGGTGACTGGACGTCAATCCTTTTTTGATTGCCCATTATATTGTAAACTTCAAGGCGAAAATTCAAGGTTTATATACAAAAGTAAAACGAATTCCCATTAAAAAAATTTGTGTTACGGTATGCTGATCTGGTGGGACAGCATCAACCCCTTCTTAAGGTGTGTCGTAAAAATGATAGATGCGAGAAGATCTTGAGGATCGTCCGGTATTCAGTTTTATTGGATTTTTGTGCTTATAAATTATATATGGTTATAAAATCAGATTGAAATGAACTGTCAAAAAATACATTGTGCATGTGCATCAGTGCGCTAACTGTTATTTTTTTATGGATTTTTCTGAAATTTTAAATAGAGGAAGGAATGATTGCATTCAAAATAAATTCTACACACGCAGACTAAAAACACATAAAACAATTATTTTGCACATGCCCAGATCCACATTCGTTATTTGTGAACCATTCCTTCTTAAATTTTTTAGGGTAGGATTCTTCTTCCAAATTAAATTAAGTAGCACGTCAAAAAAGGATTGCACATGTACAACACTAGCTTTCTTATTTGTGACCGGATTTTTACGAAAGTTTAACAGAAGTTGCATCTTATAAATGGAAAATTAATGCGAGTGGAAATGCGATTTTGTAAATCGTTTACCCTTTCCTTTTTAACTTGTTTGTTATATGCAATGACTATAGCGTTATTCTCGGCGTTATTATATGCATAACAAAACAGTGCAACAGATACACATGCTTGTATTAATAGCTTATGGTACACTTTTTTCTGCTATAACTATTAAAAAATGCTGACTATTCTAAAGAGGTTTTAAAACTTATTTTCTGTAAAAGTAGTTCAAAACCACAGGGATCCACGGACGAACAAACAGGTAACAAGAGCACATTTTCCTAATCGATAAAAACATTCGGTGTGCACACCCGGCACAAACTTCAAAAAAATTAACTTTGAAAATGGCCTCTTAAGCCCACTCCCAAATAAATGTTCAAGAAACAAAAAATTTAAGGAGCTTTTATTTTTGAACGTGCTGATTTAAAATCAATGACATCATTTCATATAACTGGTGTCCGACATCCTTAATTTTAATCGCAATATTTGATATACATTGGTGTACAATCACCCTTAATTTGAACATGCTCGTTCCCACTACGTTCATAAAAAAGAGTTTGAAAATTAATTGTAAGAAAATAAAGCCTTCAGGTAAAAATTTTATTAGAGCTATTTAACGGATGATGTGTGATGAAATGTCACTTTTTACATACAACGAAACGATTAACACTTAAGAAAAATGGCACGACATAAACAATGTCAACAATGATTAATACCTATATAGCAAACAAGTTAAAAATATAATATAGAATATTCTATTTAAAAAAAACCATGTTAACATCACAAAACTTTTATGGAACACTCTGTATACAAATATTTTTAGTGATAAACGAGGTGTCTCACAATACACTTTCCTCTAGTGTCGACCACGTGGGCGCTATCGGCCGCCTAGAGAGTAAGGTTATGTATCATATTAGCCGGGTAGAATTAGTTTACGCACTAAATATTTCAATGATTATTACTTTATATTGAAATATTTTCTTCCCTAATTATTTTACACCAAAGTTGTAAATAAAATATTTTTTTGTAGATTTTAAAATTCAGCGTCTATTCATTTGCCCATTTGTAACTTTTTGATGCAAATCATAGAAATTAAGGAAATTATACATGAGCATTTTAGCAAAAATCACCTGTGCCGTGAAATTATTAAAACAGAAATTCGTCCATGCTGCGTACCTACTACAAAGCAAATGCTAAATTCTAATTTATTTAATTTTACCAGTTTCCTGAATTGAAAAATAATAAATGAGGGCACGAGCAGACGTAAATTTTTCAAGCTACAAGAAACCTACTTGCAACTTTGCTCTAACTTAATTAGGGGAGAAAATATTTCGATATAAAGTAATTAGCATTGAAATCCCTAAGCGTGTAAACCGCTTCCACACCCTGTATGTAAAGGAAGTAAGCTCGGAAGTAAGCAATGACTTTAGTGCATAAAAGATAAAACAATCAAAATGGGATCGGTTTTTGACGTAATCTTGATTGTAGGTTAACTACATACATACACAATATATATTTTTTAATAATTGGTTACTTTCAACAAAATGTTCATTTCTTAATTCTTTTATTGTTATTGAAATGAATGTCGTCGTAGGAACCATCGCACCCAAAAGTTCTTTTACGATAGACCTTATGCATACAGTAATTTAGTAGCGAATTAGCCCGCCACCAGTAATATTCATAGCGAATGTAATAATGAATATTACCCGATTGTATGCAGTATGATAAATCGAAAGGTAAACCTGTACATTCTAATTGTGGAGCCCGCGATAGGAAGCACGCACAACATTCGAAGGCGGGCGAACGAACCGACGATGACGCGCGTCACACGCTTGGTTTAAAGTTCATTCACGAAACATGTACCTACCTAATACTCGAAGTGTGTGTTAATGTAAAATCGTTATATTAAAATCGAGCTGATACAGAAATCGGTGTAAATCGTGCTTTAGGCGGTAACGAAACTTACCGCCTGCAAATAATTGAAGGTTTGTGTTTTCTAGCGTCAAGCGTGACCGTGGCCATGCCATTTGGCGCATGACGCATGTCCGTTGTGAACGTGGAACGCGCAAACCTTTAACTCAACTAAGCGTCCGATTTTATAGAAAGGAAAACGTTAAACTCACTTGTAGATTTCATTTGCTCGGCGACGTCCTCCCAAATTACCTCCCTGGCCGGTGTGTCTATTCTATCCCATAACGTTTTATCCCATAAAGCTCTACGTATCTTGATATTCTGTATTAGTTGGTAGTTGTTCATTGAGGGACAATTAGGCGGCGACATGAACCCGCCGTTGCACGTAAAGGACTGCGGTGCGGTGAGACGAGTACGGCTGGCGAAAGCGACACGAATGTCTCTCGGCGAAGCGACGCCATCGTACTATGCGGTATTCCTACCGAAAAAACAATCGTCCTGTGTAGTTTATGAGATTGGATTTCTTTCTTTTGCATTTCAGTTGGCAGTTCGATTTAGTTTGACGATTATGAAATAAACAGTAGCTAAACGAACTGTATGAGTTGCATTAAATAGTCTTATCTCATTTGATAACAAATTGTTTACATAATCCAACTGTTTCAGTCACCTCGTAAATAAATTATTTAGATCTCATCAATGATACTGACACAAGGATACAACCTACCATATAAATTAGGAATTTTTTCAGCTACCCACCTATACGCACATCCACCTCCTTTTCCTCTGGTTCTAATCGCATATTGCCCAGTTTGGGGTTCAATATCAAAATTTAGTGTTCACGGTTTACATCGTTATTACTCAGCTAAACTTAGGCAACTAACACTACATCTGTTTTTTTATGCAAATATTGACAACTGAACGAATGTGGCAATATAAATATTGGGGGTTTACGTTTATATACATATATAAATTGAAGAAGTAGACCAAAAAAATTATTACATGACAATTCTTTTGCGTTGAAACAAAAAATAAACTCAATTAAATTGAATTGAATTAAAATTTGAGTTAAGTTCAAATAAATAGATATATTTCCTGAATTACGCAACAATTTTTGATACATTTTTAACCATGTACTGCAATAATCACTGAAATATGGACAGTGACCATAGCAATTCTAATTATTTTACTATATGAATGATGGAATCAGAAATAATGTTTTCACTTAGAATCGAGGAAACATAATGATTTCTGTACCGAAACTGCACTTTTTATGTATAATTTTATGTCGCTGAAGTTAACTTGGAATTCGGATTTGGATTCACAAATATTACACTTGGCTAGCTACACCGAATTATGAATTTATCAAAAAAGGGTGTAAACCCGCAAATTGCATATAAGCGTAATGAAAATAATATAAATTAACTACGATTTGCGTGCAAAAACCTCACAAAACGACGAAAACGATTATATACTATAGTCCATTTCAGTAGCCTTTGACATTTTTAAATTTTTACCTGAAACCGTCAAGAAAATATAAATTCCAGGGCTATTTTGACATTAGAAAGTTGATCTTTACCTGACTAGTACTGTAATATTTTTGCCTGACTCCCATTACAGTCCTAGTAGATGCAAAATAACAATTAGATCGTTCATTGAATAAGTTACTCAATCAACGATTGGATAATTATAATGGAGATATGTGAATATTTTTAAATATTAATATACCTACACACAGGATAATGGTTTTTAATTACTAACAATTAATGGAATATGTGTGGAAGTAATTATTCCTTTAGTTTTGCGCCAGTCATTAAAAGGTTTGTACGCCTTTTCGTACCTCTTTGGAGAGCGAATATTGCACTACGGCGGCCGCAGCTCCGGCTACATTATAACAACGTCTCGCGTAGGTACTCTTCTTCACTGATACCTGCTTTTGTACCTAGTTATAAAGACTGTATAGTTGAAAAAGTACAAATCATAAACTGCAAACTACATTAAAAATGACACTGATTGTTTTAATTATTTTGAAATCTCTATGGAAACAATTAAATAAAGAGATTTTAGCATGCGTGATTAGGTATTTATATCAATATTTCACACATATGAATAATTTAATTTGGAAAAGTTATCTACATGTTGCGGTTTCAGGTAAAATTTTATACATAATATGTCATGAAAGTGAGTCCACCTGACTTGGAGGGATTAAAGAGATACTCGGACGCTGCGCGTCCTCGTACTTTTCAATAAGCCTCTGCGTCATGTAAACGACCACTTTCATGACTTATTGGCCCGTATGAATAAAAGTAAGCAAATGCTTATACTTGCAAAATTCAAAGTAAATACTCGTAAGTGCTCCTTCGCACTGGGCGACTTAGCAGCGCTGCTAAGCAGAAGGACAGGACGCAGTGCAGCGCTGCTAAACCATGCTAAACAGACCAGTATGAAGGGGCAGTTACGAGTATTTACTTGAAGTATAAGCATTTGCTTACTTTTATTCATACGGGCCATTATGTAAATAACTATGATTGTTTATTCGAACAATTATTGTAGTAATTATTTGTAAGTGAATCGCCACAATTTATAAGACCGCACATTTTGTTTAATTCATTACATATTATTATGTATTATATGAGCGTCAATATTTACCGACACAGGAATTTTTTCTTTTGGCAATTAGTACAAGTGAAAATGATCCATTGGCGTTATGTGCAAATAATTATTTGTTAACGATCTGAATTCTGGATTACGATAGGATGGTGGATAGGGCCCACGCCTCGTATTCGGGCGCCTTGTGCTAGTTTTCTGACTAGAGTCGTCCGACCCCTCAACGTCACTAACCCACACGTAAAGATAAACCTAAGGATGCTCGAAAGGGAAGCAGCTCTAATTGTTGTCTTGTCCGGCCAGGATACATGGATCGTCTCAGTTGGACTAGCTCGAGACATTCACAAACCCATGCGGTGCATGTGCTTGTGTAGTTTACAGTGCCCAGAAAGTATACCCATAAGTGATCTTCTTTCTTGAGAGCCCTGTGCACCAACGCGCCAAGCTTAGAGATGGTCCTCTGAAGGCTTCCCTCGCATGGCGGTAATCTAACTACGAGGACCATATTGCCCTGTACTAGGTTTGAGTGTCGTGAGTTATTATTATATTATCTTGAGTAGTTTACAGTTGCAACTGTAAGTGGAAGAGCCGGCCCTGGACCATAAAATACCTGCTTTGAGGTCAGTCGGGCTAACTCGTGGGTGTTTCCATTATCTTTTCTCTCAAAACCTTTGATATTTAACAGCCCCTTGCTTTTCAAACGCAGGGATGCCAGAATTCTCTGCTGTCTCATGTGGAGATCTAGTGGGGGCAGCCCAGAAGGGCCTTCATAACGACTATGAGGGTTGTTCGCATCGCTCCTGTGCAAGCAAGGCACTCTTGTCTTTGCACATGATTAAGAATTACTATGGTTGTGGAGAGTCTAGTTCTAAGTCACCAGACAGTTCCTCCATAACAGAACATGGGTCACGGGTCACAAAACAGCCTTCGGGATGGTCCCCAAAGCGTTAACGGTCCTCGCGATCATTTATAATTTTCTATTGCTGCCTGTCGGTCTGTCTTTCATTGTGGACGATAATTTTGTTTAGAAATATCCGATTGGTTTGATAATTGGTACACAGGTTCTTAATGATTTAAGAATTGTCGCTATTTTCAGCTACATACATAGACTATCGGACCAAGTTATAACCCAAAATCATATCTCGGGGATCGTTCGGTATGCAGTTGCCCAATCATTTGAAGGAAGAAAATGAAAAATAAAATTCTAAAAAGTTTCTCTTAAAGCATAGGTAGTTTCTATAGCACAGATGAGTGGTATTTGGAGAACAGTATCAAATGTAGAACCTAACTTTACTAACATAAATTATTTACAGCTTGTTTTCATGAAATTAAAATTTACTATTTTACTATTTTTATTGTAATGTGTGTGCGTATGTGCCTAAAGTAGAAACTTTATATTTACAAGAATTAACGTAGGGATATGAGCCCTGTGTCACTAGTTCGTGAACCAATTTCCGAGATCTTAATTCTCTATCATTTATGCCAACGAACGAACGAGAAAGAGATGGTAACAATAGTTGGAAATTGGTTCACACATATACAATTTTTTATTTTCCTCTAAATGCCCTAGTTTATTCCGAATTCAACGCAATTAAGATCTAAGTATCTGTCATAGTTTTTGACATTTTGACATTTTTCTCTAAAAATTTGAAGATGCAAGAGTCCATTCAAAAATTCCTATAGATTAAACCGTTCAAAGTTGGTATTAAAAAAAATGTCAAAATTAGGACCATAGTACATTGCGTAGATTCTTTCTATTGCAAAACCATCTCATAGTTGCTATATATGTTAGATTAAACAACGTCCATCGTATATTGTCCAAACTGGTCAAATAGGCATTTATTCAGTAATTTCGTTGAACAAATACGCACTGCGTCGATGGGCGAGGACTAAATTTTTTTTGGATAACATCTGACATAGTGGAACTAGTCCGTCAGTGATTCCAACGTACAAAATAGATTTATTCATAAATGGCCCTCGTAATTTTGCACTAAAGTTCCGGTTGCATCACATATAAAGTGGAATTTTTACTTGTCTTGCAGTATTCGCTGTACAGCACACTGCACACATTGGTTTCTACACAGTAGAGAATGGAATGGGTCTAGTCCAGTAGTATGTATTGAACCAAAAAATGTACACTTACAAATAATTACACACAATTGACGTCTCTCATTTGTTAGTTGTCTAGGAGCAGATAGGATTTAGACCGTGATAATTATTTGCCAAATTTAAAACGAATTGTAGAGAATAATTAAAGAGGTTATTCCGGTGATGTGCTCTGTAAAATGATTAGTGAATGGACTTAGTCTTACTGTCGTGTCTAAGATACAATCAATGATCGTGGTAGTTGTAGTAGTACAAATTAGAACAAGCTCGAGAATAGTAATTTCTCCGGTTTGTGTGGGCTTCTAAGGTATCATTAGCGCTCTAGGGCTCTGAGAAAAGCTGGAGCAGGAGTCCTGCCGCATCAATCAATCTTGATACGAACACTACCGTCTTTTCTCGTTGTAATTGCGACCGTGGGATTTAACGTCTTACCTTAGATCCTTTCCCTGTATAATGAAATATGCTTTACCGTTCTCGTCTCTGTCATTACATCCCGACCCGGACAGCGAGGAGGCTCTTTCTCTTGAACGAAATTAATTAAACGAATGGCCTCCTTTAATGTAATAAGTTTATTTTAAATTGCTTATCCGAAACGGGTAAATCAGCTTCTAAAAGTAACGTTAACAATATTCAAACAACACGAGGCGAATTTTTTAGACGTTTTAATGTTGCGGTGTCTTGCAGGGTAAAGTAGGGCAGATTCGAGCATAGATCCTAAATCGTAAATCTTTTTTCGAATT